ACCCTGGAGAATTCCCAAGCTGCAGAGCTTTTTCAAACAACACTGCACATCCTCGACAACAGAGCGCGACAGAGATATAAGAGGGATGTCATGGCACCAGGTAGAGTTGATTTATTATTTAAAATCTAGTTTAAGAGAAAGGCACCATAGTCAAAACAACACCTATTGCGATTGGTCCTAATTGGGCCATTACCATTTGTGAAGCTGACCGTTGAGCGGCCCGACCAAGCAAGGAGGCAGAGGCAGAACGTCCAAAATACAACCCGGTGTTGGCATTTATTACTCACAAACATATGACTCAGCCTCAATCTGCTGTTAACGTGAGCACAGCCACCAGGATCTCACACACACTACCACCCACACAGACAGGGAAACAGAGCCTAAATACCCACACACTAATCAGCAATTAGACACAGGTGAGGGGGGAGGAGACAACACAGGGCACCAGGTGAACACAATCAGGAGCAACAGACAAAACAGGTTTGGGGAACACCCCCAAACCAAACCACATGTGCAATGTTACAAGGCCCGAAGCCGTCAGTCCACAGTGATGAAGTTACCTTCGTCACACCATTATTCATACCAATTTAACAGATTACCAAAAATGGGATAATTCAAACCATGCCTGCAAAGAGTCCATCCTTTATAAAGGAAATTACCATTAAACGGAGGAGCTTTTCCAATTATAGTGTGTGTCTTTCAGGATAGCAAGATTCAATTTGAAGTTTTCTAGTTTCACCTTCTTCTTATTTATAGACACATTCATATTTCAAGCTTTTGGAATACCTATGTTGTAAATGTATTTTCTTTTTAATTTACACATGACATCTATTGCACGTCTGTCTGATAGGGATCCTCCTCTGTTGCTCTCCCTGAGGTTTCTTCCATTTTCCCCCATTAACTGTTGGGTTTTTGGAAGTTTTTCCCTGTCAAATGTGAGTGTCCAAGGACAAAGGGTGTTGTATTCATATTCTGTACAAACTGTAAAGTCCACTGAGACAAATGTAAAAATCTGTGATACTGGGCTATATATAAATAAACTTTAATTGAAACTTTGCTCCGTCACAATGCTAGGACTGCTCTCACGGGAAGACGTGGAGCTGATTGCCGAGCTGTCTCGATGTCCTCCTGTGACATATCCAAACATCTGTCACCAAAGTCACCTCAACAAATACAGCTCCATATCTGGCCTCTGCAATAACAGGTAACTCTCCATTTTTTGGTAAGTCGAAGAGGCTCGACTATATTTTTATAAAGGAATAAATGTGTATTAGAGTCCACACAGAATCTTTGTGGGACTTAATGAAGGAGATTCTGAAAAGTGATGGGATGTAGAAGTCATTTATCACATGTTGATGTTGTTGATTTTACTGTGTCATACACAATGTGCACCCAAAAGGCAAATAAAGCGTATTTTAATAAGCAGTTTATGAATTTACGTAGAAACTGTATATTATGCTTCTACCCACCACTGGGAATTACCTTACGTTTTTGCGAAAACTTAATGCCTGTCTGAATTACAACCAATTGAATGTAAAAACGGGAAACCTTTTATTATTATTTTTGTTATCATTTAGATGTTATTGTTAATTGCAGATACACTATAATAAGTAAAACAGTGATACGGTGCAAAGACAATGCTCACACACAAAACAATAGAATTAGGGGTGGGGGAGGAATGGCAGTGTCATTTTATTTTAGGAATTGTGATCCCATTTAACAACTAGTATAGCCATGGGAACACATGCCTGTTCATGGTCTTGCAGCAGTACATTAAGTATTTTTCTTGCCGCAGTTCATGGTCTACTCCAAAACAGAAAACGTACTTTAATTATCATTATTTTATTTATTTATTTTTTACATGACTCACTATACTTGCCCCGAGAGTGAACAATATGGGTCCAATAGTGGCTTCTTTCTTATTAGAAAGTAGAGTGGCCTAGATGATGTAAGTCCAGAAATAGCCTGATAGTAACTGATCAAATGTATGTATTTTTGTATTAATATATGGCAACATAAGACACAGGACACAAAACCAATTTTAACAGCAAATTCACACATTCATGAACTGACTACAACTTGATTTGTCAGTGAGTTTAACAAAAATATCAAGCAAATCTCACAATTAGTTACCTAGTATATTGGTAAAAATGTAGTGTTATAAACTCCTCATGACCTTTTGGAAGGAAATAAATGATGTTGTATTTGTTGATGGCATATTCTGCTTCATGATTCTTTTTGTCAGGCAAAATCCTCTCAGGGGAGTAGCCAGCACTCCCTTGGTCAGGTGGCTTCCAGCTGAATACGAAGACGAAAGGAGAGAGCCCAAGGGCTGGAACCAAGGGCGGCTCCATAATGGATTCCAACTTCCCCCGGTAATCTGCTCAATTATTGTCCAGCGGACACAAAAAGTCTTGGTGGAGACATTAGAAAGTGAAGCGAGCTCACCCTGCAAACCCAAGTTAATGTAGCTTTCTATTTATTTTCCTAACCTGTTTCACAGCAGATAAAGTCCACTAGCAGAAGTGTGTGAGATGGCACAGATTACAGTTTAATTTAAATATTGTGGCCTTTGCTTTAAAAGACACTATTTCCCAAGCTATAAAAGTATATTTCCAGTCATGGGGATAAACAGTGTAACGGAAATCAAACTGTTTTGCGGGGTCATTTGGGGGAAGAAAATATTTTGTAACAGCATGTAGTTTATCTGCATAGCAGAGGTAAAAGGTATCCAAAGTCGTCTATAAAGATTATCTAAATTAAGTATTGGCTAATACTTGTATTGAATTTGATAAGTACTTTTTTAAGGAGATAATAAGGGTATGAAAGAAAAGAGGCTTGCCTGAACATATCCAACCCCTTTTGTGACTTTTAGTAATGTATCAATTTCTCATAGAGGAAAGAAAATGACATTAGTACCACAAAATAAGGCCATAAATAATTGCATAAATAAATTCTGAAATGAATTCATGCATGAATAAATAAATGTAAGATGATTATCAAAAAGCACATAAATAAATAAATATATCTTTAATGTATTTTTACATTCTTGTTTTGAGTCATCACCCCTGACGGTAAAAATAAGTACTTGTTGTCATCCAAAACAATATAATCTTTCTGTTTTAACAGCCATGGGAAGTCAGCAAGAAAATAATGAGGAGCTCGTCCAAACTGAAGGACGATGTCTATTCTCACATGCTAGTGGAGTGGGGCCAGTACATCAGCCATGACATGACCATGACCCCTCAAATCAAAGGCGGAGCCGGCCTTTGGAGTGATGTGGACTGTTTGAAGTCATGTCAAAATGTGCATCCGTGCTTTCCCATTGAGGTAAGCACAACAGTCCTTGAACATTTTCATTTTTCTTGTTGAGACTTAGATCAATAACCGCCTCACTAGCAAGGACCATACAGTACTGCAACAATATGTCAGTTGAAGATTTATTCACAGGACATATTGAATGGAAATGGAAAGGGATAAAAGGATGAGAGATGACGCCTGTCAGTCTGGTCTGAAGGATGAACTGAAGGGAACTCAGAGGAGAGACTTAGGGCGGGAGTTCGGTCCCATGGCGTGTTTCTGCGCAATCTGAATAGGGGCACCAGACGTACCAGGAACAAGATAATAAGTATGCAGTAAATACAAAGAGATAAGGGGAGACACGAAGAGGGGATAAAGAGATCTAGGGATGTAGTGATGAAGGGTCAAATGGATACAGGAAGGGAGGGAAGGGTGAAGGTTTGAAGAGATGTTGTGAAGCAGGGATGAAGGGTTAATACGATAAATGGATGAAAGATGTAAGGAGAGAGTGATGACTTGATGAAGGAAGGGAGGGATGGATGAAGGATGTAGGGAGGGGGTGAAGGGTCGAAGGGGGTGTAGGGAAGGAGGGAAAGGGATGAATGGATGAAGGGATGTACTGTAGAGAGGAAAGAACGGACAGATGTAGGGAGGGAGGAATAAAGGGATGTAATGAAGGATGAATGTGCAACTGCTTGAAGGCAAGTCAAGTTTATTTATATAGCACTTTTCAACACAAGGCAATTCAAAGTGCTTTACAAAAATGAAAGACATTAAGACTTAATGTCTTTCATTTTTGTAAAGCACTTTGAATTGCCTTGTGTTGAAAAGTGCTATATAAATAAACTTGACTTGCCTTCAAGCAGTTGCACATTCATNTATGATTTCTACGCAACACAGCTGCATTTCCCTGACATGCCCATTTTCGGTACCTGGGTCGGCACGCATCCGCTGTGGACAGCCTCCAATGCGCGTTACTGTGCTAATGTAGTAGTTGGCGATTACCTTTGGATCACTGTTGGTGGTATATGCCTCCATCCACATTATGTAACGACTAAATCCGTCAATGCAGCTATTTATTGCAATGCCATAAGGCTTTAGTTTGTCATATGAGTCCATACTGTATGCCACAAGGCGTTGGGACCTCTGCTGTGGTACTGTCGGCACCGTAGATGTGTTGCTCGTCGTAGTTCGATCATGAGTTTGACTCCTTCTGGATCCAAAGCCTTGATTACAAGTCTCATCGTTTCTTGTGAAACAACAAATCCCCTTTTGAACAGCTCGTAGATGTAACCAACGATAGCCTTGTAGTCGACTTTATTCTCGTAATATTACGACTTTATTCTCGTAATTATGACTTTATTCTCGTAATGTTACGACTTTATTCTCGTAACTATGACTTTATTCTCGTATTATTACAACTTTATTCTCTAAATCTCTGTTTTGTTTTCTAAGTGTGGCCCTAATACTCCGTCGTAGTTTACTGTTTCAAAAAACAAATACAAAGTTGTTGTTACACAGTGTTAAAGGCTAGACTTATTCTTAACTCACAATGGACAGCTATAAAAAAATCAGCAGATCTAGAGATGTCTTCTTTTTTATTCCATGCATTTATTTTCAAAATCTGAAAATTACCCACAATGCAACTCATTCACATTCGGAATTTTGGGTGTACTATGCTAATAGATGCTAACGTAGCCTCAAGCTGCAAAAATAAACAGCATGCTACACAGGTCTGGCAAAATCACTTATTTCTGACTGAACGCTTCCAGATTTTTCAGTGACATCACATAATGCAATTTATTAGACACAGCTCCCATTAGAGAAACAAAAGGTTTATAACAACATTTTCATTAGAAAAGTACCTACTACTAAGGTCCTCCACACAGCCTTTAATGAAAACATAAAGCTAATTGCCCAGCTTCATTTTTGGTGAACAGACGTGGTGTTTTTGTAACTCTCGGAAATAAGTGAACTGATTCCGCACAGCACTTACCTGGAAGGCCGTGATCCCGTCCTCTCTGTAGGTTCAGTGAAGCTAGATCCATGAACTCTGAGTTATTGACAATGATTAGCCTCTCTGTTACCTCCTCTGTCAACAGCATGTTTGCGCTTGCTGTAGATGCTGGAGTTCCAATTGCACCTCTCAGGGTCGGTTCAATTCCACCTAGACACAAAAACAGCATTTCTTTAAAGTCAGTTTTAGATAGTTATGTTTTGTAAGGTTCAGAAATGCTCTTAGTACACATAACAAGAGAAAAACTTTCTCGTAAACAACTTTGCTTTGACTATTCTTTAATCCCTTATTCCAAACAGACCAGACAAAAATGGTAAAATGTCCTTTATGCTGTTCAGAAAACAGGTCTGTATATCACTCCTAAACCTGGCTTTTCTGCTACCCTTGGACTCACAGGTGTCCAAACTATTTAATTCAAACAAACCGGATAAATGCACTGCTGGGGATGAATACTCTGTGTATCATAATAAAACCTAGTTACACAAAAAAATACACTTTTGGTAAGACTGCTGCGTTTCCCTCTATTTGACGTGAAAACTTCAGACATAGGAGATCTGCAAAAAAAAAAGACCACTGGTTGTATGTTACTATTTCAAATGGATTACACTTTAGAAAAACAATGAGTGTTCTAATATGTAATGATAGATGTCTACGCAGAATGTCAAGTGGATTAGTGCACATTTTGCTAGCAGCACACTGCACATGTCATGAACTAGATATATTAATACAGGTTTTACTCTATAGACGTATGTCCATTCAAAGGTTCTCTTTCATAAGTCACTTGTATTGCATTCAAATAATAATATCACTAAGATACACATTCATTCTGAACAAAGTCACGCTGAAGCTGACCTCAATACAGTATTGCTTGTGGGGAACATTGTTACTTCCAATGGACAGCTTTGTACTGTGTGTACTGACCTTCTTTGACTATTCTCCATGGACTGAAGAAAGTGCTACTGATTCTCAGGTGGGGGAAGTGCTCATGCATCTGAAAGCTCTCATTCAGTCTCTGGAGTATTGGAGAGATGGTGCCGTGGCCAAACCTGAATGCAGCGGTCGCAAACACATTGGATGTTGAAGGGTCTGTAGTTGGATCATATCCCCGATAGGGTCCAATGTACTGTTCAAAAGACTCCTCGCCAATGATCTTTGGAACATAATCTCTCATGGTGATGATCTGGTAGGCAGAAAAGAGAAGGGAGATCACAAACAAGCTGGACTTAGATGGACATGAAAGAAAATAAAGCCACGTGATTGAATAACCTCATGTAGCGATTACTATAACATACTCGCCCTTGGTATTGATTAAGAATATCCAGTGATAATTTATGCATGCAGCTAAAATAAATTCCCTTAATTCCCGTTATTAACGCGTTAACTTGACAGCTCTAAAAAAAACACATTATACCCCAATGACTACAAATCATATTCATCGAAGTCTACATTTATGTTGATTGGCCTTGAAAAAACAAGGGCAAATCCACAATAGCTGCAAACACGTACGCTTAGGCAATCGGAGAGTTAATTCGTCTACACACTCACAAAAATCGGCCAAAGACAAATCCACACCCTCAGGGGAAATCCTTTTTCTCCCAATGTTGGGAAAATGTTTGTAAGGGCAAGATATATATGTAGAGCTGTTGGTTGTAACTAGAACAAAATGTAATGATCAGCTGTCAATAGCATTAAACTCCCTAAAGGTTCACTCAATTTTACACACAAGTCCTTTTCACTTAATTAAAACAAACCTCCTATATCCTTAACAACTAATAACTAAATAGGACATAATGTTATTGTCCACATATACAATACTTGATAATACTAATACTACTCCTAATTTGAAGCAACAGTTGTGCACTTCAATTGAGATGCAGGTCAAAATTAAATCAGATGCCGTTAGATGATCCTTTTTCTTTCCTGTTTCCTGCCAATAACAGGTTTTCACTCTGTATTGAAATGGCTTCTGACCTTTCTATTTGTTTCCTGCAAGCCATGCCGAGTACCAAACATCCCCCCACTGTTTTCGAGTGGCTTCCCACAGACAGTCAGTTGGAGTGGAAGTATGAACAGGTTCACCCGCCTGCATCCCTCTGGCCTGACTCATGACTGGGTTGGGGGATAAGGCTACAATTTATGCATGGGAGATCGTTTATGATTTAAAGAGTACCAGAAAGCTTCTTGCTGAGACTAATGTTTACCTATAATGTTAATCAGGTTGGAATTTAGGCAAAAAGTACAAAACAAGCATTAATGGACTAAAACGTTTTGCCTATTTGCGTGTTAAGTGCTTGAAGACAAAGCTTTAGAGAGATGCAGCGATGCCGTATTTTCGTAGAAAGTCCTGGAAGTTGGCATCGCATCGCATTGACAAAGATCAATGGGATTTCCCCATTTGATTTAGTTGTATTGCACAAAACAAGCTCTGTGGCCAACACATGTTTATGAAAATTAACAGATTTTGTTCAGCAGGATTATCTCTACATTTTAGCTCTGCTTTGTGATCTTTGAAGCGTAAAAAGCTAACGTTAAGGGCTATAAATGAACTACATCACGTTCGCAGGGCTGCTAAGTTGAAGGCTATCTAGTCCAGGCGCAATGACATTGAGTAGTTTATTTAGTCACTTGTTAGCAACCAATGTTTTTATGAGACATAGAACTTCGGACATTGACGAGTGGGGTATATACTCACGTATTTTATGTAGAACAAAACTTGAAAATCTCATAAGCTCTCGTTGACCACAGAATCCCAAACACGTTAAAAAAAACATTGACTTTGAGATAAACTTTTAAAATGGAAAATGAAGTAGTAGGACGTTTTTTTCCGTGTTTTAGAACTCATATCGCACAACTCTTTTTTTTATATTTTTACAATTTACAGGACAGTAAGAAGGCACTGAATCAAAGGAGATTATTTTAAGTAATCTTTTTAGTTTGTATAGGAATTGCTTTTAACTTAGACTTGAACATCTCACTGAGGAGCACTGCCTTTTTCACAATCTGCTTTTTTTCATTTATGGACATCAAGCATGGGAATATGCTTTCAGCAGAGCCTAAAACTAGAAGACTAGAACAGACATTCACTTATTTTCTCCTGTTTTGTGGAAATTAATTTGACTGATTTCCTTTATCTTTAATTGCAATATTTGTTGTTATTAAGAGTTGTATTGGATGAATTAGCTTTTTTGTCTTACATCAAAAGCATACGTTATTTACATTCTGCATGCATTGTGTGATTTGCCCTTTTCTCTAGCACTATTTTACGTATTTCTATGTTTTACTGTTGAAAAAGCCTGGGATTTAAGATTACATTTGCCAAGAACTAGATTTTGTGCAAATAATAATCAATATTTTGAATGGGAAGATCAACCAATATATTTGTGTAAAAACTCACAGTTAACATTAGAAAGTTACATAAACAGGAACAAACACACCGTCATAGAACCGGCCTGAAAACCCTTTTAACACTGATGCTTCGACTCCTGTCTAATTGCACAATAGTCTTCGTTTTTTTTGTAAGTAATTACAGCCAAAGCAAACATTTTAATGCATTCAAGTAGTGCATTTACAGTGACTTGTCAAGAATAAGGCTGTATGAAAACAGCATCCTCCGTTAAATTTGCCCTGTGTGAGCTTGTTTGCTGGGAACAGCTGCTTGAGGATTTAAAGTGTGTGTCACAACAACGAGCTGAAAGCTGCTGAGGCTGTAAAGGGAGAAGAGGTTTTTCTTTCTTAAGATTGGATAACTAGAAAACTTTTCTCATTACAGGCAGACTTTTCAACATTAGAATATTATACAATAACACAACTACACTACATTAGGCATTAGTTTGTTTGTTATACCTCAAATGTTTTGTCGTTTCCCCCTGGGATTTAACCAATTTCCCAATGGTAGAAATAAAATATTTTGGATTCTCCGTCTGATTAAATCAACAGTACTGTAGTTATTAATTGTCATAGAGTGGTGCAGTAATGAGTCGATGACATTTCAGCCCTTCCGGTTTGCTCGTCTTAACATTATTTTATTTTTGTACTTGTTTGTGGTTAGAAATAAAGTTTAAAACACGCTTTTACTTCATGCGACGTGTATGCACCATAAACGTGTGTTGGCCACAAAGCTTATTTTCTGCAATACACCAAAATCCAAAGCAAAAATTAAATTGTTTTTTGTCGAGGAAGCCCTTGCGATGCTAATCTCCAGGTTGGCCGACAAAAATAAGTCATCACTGCACCACTTCATTGCTCTGCAGGACCCATGGCGGTAGTAACACGTTTATTTTTATATGCACACCACTACATGACCTCAAGCAATTTAATAGAATGTACTTCTTAGTCTTTTTGCAAATGTATTTTACATTGGGGATATTTGCGATCAAATATATGTACTTCTCCTATGTCCGACTAAGAGATGATAGTGTAATAAAATGAAGGATGTGATAATGAAAAAACTGAGCTTTGGTGTTTCTTTAATTCTTCATCTCAGCTTTTAAAATTCCACTCCACTTCCAATACAGGGATTTTCTGAGTTTGTCATGGTTATAGCTACAGTATGTAAATCCCCTACCTGCACTTTTATACTTCATCCTCAAAAAATATTTCAAAAACCCATCCTCCTCCATTAGATATCTCTCTTTAATAATGTAAATCTCTTTCCTCTGGCATTGTCCAAAAGCCCCCTGATGATAGCAGGTGTTAATCCACTTTCCGAGTAAATCTTAGGCCCCAAAGTCTGAAAGATTACACGCTTATTTTCCCTTATTTGCCTTAGAAACTTCACAGCCTAGCATCAGGATTGTCCCTTTCACAGGAAAACATGATTAATTTCCATCAAAACCATGTTTGTTAATAATTTTGTCATGCAAACATACAGTATGTACCCATCTAAATGAAACCCACAGCCTACAGCTAATATAACTTCTATCTACAGTACAGTCATTGCTGCAAAGCCTGCCTTCCATGGTAAGATGACAGGGACATCCTTTGTGCTAACTGGTATGGAACGTGCACAGAGACTGTTTACAAGAAAGGATTATGACCTGTCAATCATCAAATTGTCCGTCTGGCTCTGTTGCTCCTCCCTTACATAAAGAATCATCCTAACAGAAATGTGTCCTAAGTTTTCACTGAGCAAAGCAGAGCCACATTAGCTATTATTGTTCTCATTTATATTAGTATGTAGTGTCTCTACTGTGAGAAGTTTCAATGCTTTAATGTTCAAAAAGCTCTTTATTTTCCCCATACTGCGTGTGCTGCAGCACCTTTTTTCACCCTCTGTCTGAAACCAGAGCCCATTCTGCTCTGATCGGTTAGCTGGCCGGCTCTGTTGTGATTGGTCGACCACTCAGAGATATGCCAATGCTTTGGAACGCTAGACAATAGAAGTGCCAGTGTAACATAATGATGTCACTATGTTACGGATGCAAACAAAGGAGTCCAATGGAGGCGTTTCAGGCTGGGGGGGAGTTTATGGGAGAGACTTTTGTAGTGTGTTATAACCTGTAACACACTGCAGGAAAGAGAAACCCCCAAAAGCATATTCAGGCCTCTTTTATATCTGAAACATTAGAGGAGTTCAGTGAAATGCAAAAATGTATATAACACACTACAGATGGAGTTTCTCTCCCACACACTCCCCCCTTGCCTAAACGCCACAATTGGACTCCTTTGTTTACTTTCTGGAAAACATAGTGACATCGTTATGTAGCGTTCACGCCTCAATTTGATAGCGCTCAAACACATCGTACATGGTAACTAAAGTTAGCCGGCCACATACAATACAGCTTACCAATCAGAGCAGACTGGCCTCTGGTTTCAGACAGAGGGTGAAAGAGGTGCTGCAGCACAGGCAGTATGAGGAAAATGAAGAGCTTTTTGAACATTAAGCATGGAAACATGTCAGATGAACCTGAAAAAGAACATGACAGGTTAAAATAGTTGGAAGCTACATTTCTTTTTGCAGCACCTACAGTTTTTACGATCATCCTTATAATGTCTTTCTCTATCAACATGGCAATTCACATACATACAGACATCTAAACATATATTATTTTAAACTTCTATTCCTTGTCTGTCGAATAACTCAATTTGGTGATGAATATTATTTGACAAGATAAAAAAGTTGTATGACATTGCTGCGCAGTCTACATTTGTAGCAATAAATGCAAGAATTCTTTCTGAAAAAGCTCCAGTCAAGGCTGTTTCTTTTTCTCATCTGTGTGAATGCTTCAATGACCTTAAGTCACGACACGCTTCATAAAAGAAGAATATCTTGTTTTTCTTTTAAACAACAGGCCTCACTTTTTCTTTTTTTTTTATTATCAGTTTGACATTTTTTGCAACACACTCGCACTCCTGACATCTCATAATTATAAATTCACCACACATGTGAATGTTGGATTAGTTTGTTCATAATGTGTGTTTGTTAAGAGAAACTGTACAGCAGTAAATCATGTTTGCCTTTGTTTTCGTCACACAGCTGTTTCCCCTGCCTTCATCAAATGTATTTAGTGTATAGAAAAACAACAGCAAGTAGGACCCTGCATCATGTCCATAATTTGCATCATTCACCTAATCCATGTTTCTTTCAAAAATGCTGCTGTTCTTTCTCTTAAAGCCAGCAAACAATGTAAACATTTCTTCTTATTCTGTTGCCCTGAATCATAAGCATTCACACCGTAACTATTTTGGTGGATCTTGGACTTTTTGGAAAATTGTTTTCTAATGGTCGATATTTCCCATGTGAATTTAAGTACATAAGTAGTAAATGCTAGTAGTTTAAGCTGTAAATACTAATTTTGTCCAGTTTTCAAAAAACAGGCCATGGTTAACCTTACTGAAGCACAGTGACTATGCTGTTACATCTGGTTGCTACAATATCGAGAACTATCCATTATTTATTTACAACACAATCTGAAATTGCAACTGAAATTTTTTCTGATTTTTTTCATTCTCCTGCACTATTTTATCTATTTTATGTCCTATATATATTCATGTTGCACTGTTGGAGGACCCTGTGTCTTAAGTTTTCATTGCCATATCTACACTGTAGCTAATGTGCACATGACAATAAAGCCTTGAATCTTGAATCTTGCATAAAGTGCAAAACACACTATTAAAATAAGGTTTTGCACGCAATTAAATTGTCGATTTTCAATAACTCAAATACATAATCAGCAGGTTACTTGGAAACGAAATAATATGCTTTAATGCTTACAGAGGTTTTTGTTTTTGCATATTTTTAAACACGTTAAGCTGCTCGTCACATACCTGATGCAGTGCTCCGACAATCTTGCGAGTTTCTTGGTAAATAGTCTCCGGGCTCCAATGACTGTTGATGTGTTTCAGTGCCTCTGCGATCCGGTTGTGTTCCCTGAGCCACAGTGTGTGCAGACAGATCAGGGGCAGACCCTCATTCAGCCGACTGTCTCCAGCTCTGAAACACTCGACTCTCTCCACGTGCGGACCCTGGCGGCAGGCGGATGGCAGATTGGCGACGGATGGAGGGTATGTTCTTCCTGTGTGATCCCTGAACTGGTCATTGACAGCAAGCTTCCCATCGAGGCCAGGGAGGTCACGGAGGGAGCTCTGCAGCCTCGGACTGTGGCCGTACACGGTCGAAGCATCTATGAACGATGTGATGCCGTTCATCTGCTGTCGCTGCAGAGCTTGTCGAATATCTGAGCCACGATGGATGGCGCAGGCTGCGTTGGAGCGAAAAAAAGGCATGCAGCCGCGTGCAGCTTTGATAGAATCACCTGTCTGTGGAGAACATGAAATAATTTGTTACAACCTGTTACCATCCAGAGCAACTCCTGATCAATGTAGTGGTGTTGTCCCTTCATTCACAAATCCTTTCATCCATTCATCACTTGACCCTTCATCCCTCCCTCCCAACATTCATTCATCCTAACATATCTAGGATTAAAAGACTAATGTCACAGCAGGATTTGGAAAAACGTGTCCATACTTTTATCTTCAGTAGACTGGACTACTGCAATGGTGTCTTCACAGGTCTCACTAAAAAATCTATCAGAAAGCTGCAGCTGATTCAGAACACCGCTGCTCGAGTCCTCACTAACACTAAGAAAGAGGATCACATCACTCCTGTTCTGAAGTCTTTACTCTGGTTCCTCACTAACACTAAGAAAGTGGATCACATCACTCCTGTTCTGAAGTCTTTACACTGGCTTCCTGTGTGTCAAAGAATAGATTTCAAAATACTGCTGCTGGTTTATAAAGCTTAAAATGGTTTAGGCCCAAAATACATTTCTGACCTCCTGCTAAATTATGAACCATCCAGATCTCTCAGGTCTTCAGGGACTGGTCAGCTTTCTGTCCCCAGAGTCAGAACTAAACATGGTAAAGCAGCGTTCAGTTATTATGCTCCAAATATCTGGAACAAACTCCCAGAAACCTGCAGGTCCGCTGCAACTCTGACTACTTTTAAATCAGGGCTAAAGACTTTTCTTTTTGTCGCTGCTTTTAATTGAGCTATTCGTATCTTATACTGCACTGTAACTTTTATCCATGTATTTTTTCTTTTAATGTTTATTTGATTATCTTTCCTTTTTAATGACTGTTTTTAAATGCCATTTTCTTAATGTCTTTCATTTTTGTAAAGCACTTTGAATTACCTTGTTTTGAAAGGTGCTATATAAATAAACTTGACTTGCCCTGCCTTGCTGGAGAGAGTATGTGTAAAAAAAAGCAGGAAATAAAAAAAGTTACTCACCTTGTGGTAAACCTGCAAGAGAAAAAGCATTTGAGCTCCGTACTGTTTCAGAAATAATCCTTGCCGTGGTTTGGAACATGATATGGCGTTTAATCTCATAGAATTCTGAGCAGGCACAAGCTCCCCCTCCTCTTCTTTATTTTTCAAGCTAAGGAGCCCGAATCAGCACTTCTCTAACAGGGCTGAAATAGAGGGATATGAGGGATTTCTAAAATGCATTATCTTTTTGGTATTTTGAGCAAAACATATCATAGACATGTTTTTTATATTTTTTTATATATCTGAGACCCATAATATATGCCTAAAAATAGCATAATAGGGGAACTTTAATGTTCAAAAAGCTCTTTATTTTTCTCATACTGTCTGTGCTGCAGCACCTCTTTTCACCCTCTGTCTGAAACCAGAGCCCAGTCTGTTCTGATTGGTTAGCTAGCTACAGCTATGTTGTGATTGGTCAACCGCTTAGAGATGTCCCTCCCCCTTAGCCTGTACGCACAATCTTTTAGAGTGCTAGCCAATAGAAGCGCGGGTGTTACATGGTGATGTCACTATGTTATTGAAGTGAAGAAAGGAGTCCAATGGAGGCACTGAACACTGGGAGTTTGCAGTTCACAAGCGTGCTCTTCCCCACAATGTGGGGTGTACACCACCCCAAATTGATCATGTTGTTGATAGTGCTACAGATGCCCTGCGAATAAAATTAGACTCTGTTGCTCCTTTGAAAAAGAAGAAAATAAAACAACATAGACTAACTCCATTGCATGATGCCGAAACCCGCAAAATAAAGCAAAAGTCGAGACAACTTGAAAGGATATGGCGTTCCACTAAACTTGAAGAATCTTTATTCTTCTTTATTTTAATTTGGCATATTACTCTCAATGAATATAAGAAAGCACTGCGTAAAGCGAGAGCAGCTTACTACTCTTCATTAATAGATGAGAATAAGAATAATGCAAGATTATTTTCAGCACTGTAGCCAGGCTGACAGAGAGCCACAGCTCGATTGACCCTTCTACTTCCCACAGCACTCAGTAGTAATGTATTTTATGTGTCTTTTTAACGATAAATTGTTACTCTTAGAACAAATTAATGA